ATTAGACAGCTTAGGCTGCTCTCTGCAGTGGAAAAGCCCATCAGTGCACCTGTATCTCTGGATTTGTATATAACATGGCCATATAAGGACACCCTATCGATTTTTATATTATTATCATTGCTGATAGAATTTATTCACTTATTCACACCCACTGTACTTTTATTTGAGGACACCTTATTATGTCCAATGTAGAACTTCAATAAGGGTGCTATGCCTGCACTGATTTGTAAACTTTCATAAAACTGAGCATTATTTGAATCGTTTTATCATGTTTGAAAGGTGTATATAAGTGTAATGATAATAAAGGAACTGGCACCCTGTCCAGGGTGTACGCCGCCTTGTGCCCGATGCTACCTGGGATAGGCTCCAGGTTCCCCGTGACCCTGACAAGGAGTAAGCAGTAGAAGAGGGATGGATGGATGGATGATAATCAAGGAGAATTTCCAATTTATATCATTATTGGAGTTCAGTAAAAAAATGACCATGAACATTTTAACATCATGCAATCTTGCCTTGGCTATAATATGCAGTATATATGATATATTTGTTAAGACTGTTCCAGACATAACCTCAGATTACTGTTCTTGGCTAATCAGAGTGTAACACGACGTGGTCTTCTGATGTTGTAGCTCATCTGCCTCAAGGGTCGGCATCTTGTGTGATCTGAGATGCTTTTCTGCATACCACGGTTGAAAAGAGTGCTTATTTTAGTTACAATTTGCCTTACTGTCAGCTCAAACCAATCTGGCTATTCTCCTATGCTCTTTCTCATCAATTAGATGTTTCCACATGCAGAACTGACACTCATTGGATGTTTTTCTTTCCGCACCATATGTTTCAACTCTAGAGACAGAGAGTTGTGCGTGAAAATCCCAGATCAGCCATTTCTGAAATGCTCAAACCAGCCTATTAACTATGCCACAGTGAAAGGCACTAAGATTACATTTTCCCCCATTCTGATGTTTGCTGTGAAAATGAGCTGATGCTCTTGACCTGTATCTGCATGATTTTATGCACTGTAGCTGCCTTGTGATTGGCTGATTGCATATTTGCATGAACGAGCAGATGTACAGGAGTTCCTTCTGAAGTGGCTAGTAAGTGTATATTATATGGTACATTAATGAACTTTGCATTCTAATACAAAAAATGGTACATATGTGGCAAATTCAAATGTTAAATGTGGACAGAAACCATACTAATCTTTGCAGTGTAGTTTTTAAGATGAAAACCCATGGTGTGAAGAAAACGTCATCCCCACACCTTCAGCAACACATGCTCAATGACATTCAGGATGCAGCCTGCCAGCCAGACTGTATCGCTTGGTCCCACAGCTTGAAGACGATAGTTCTAGGTGTTAAAAACCACCCGCAGGCAATCTTTTTTTTCTCACTCTGTAGAATATCTGAACCATCCCTATTACCTCCAGCTCTCTGAACCAATTTTGCTACAACGTTTGTGATTCACTTGTTTTTTTTCCCCAAGTGTCTTGATACACATTTGAAAGAAATACCCCCTACATCCCCTCCCCAGCCTCTCCTCATACAGAATGAGACTCTTGTAGCATTCCAGGTCTATCATTACCAGTGAAACCTCACACACTGGTATTTAAAAGTCATGATTTTTGCTGTTGGAAGAACACGCATTAGAATTTGGGAAACTGCCATTTTGTAGCATGCCAAGGAAGTGTTTTGCTAATTTTTTTGCACACTCTACTTTTCAACAGACTGCTTCAAATTGTGAAAAGCACATCCATATGCTCAATAAACTACCCAAGCCAAAATGAAAATGATACTTTGTTTTACAGAAATGGCGCACACTGCCTATATTACCCACTCTTACACTTGATACTTAATTTGTGCAAAAGAGACCCCTTCATTCTTTTCTTTCAAAGATTAAAAGACATCAGTATAAGGATTCATTTTTTGCATCCACATCAGATTATTTTCTGTTAACAATTGGTTTCAGGTGGATTATAAATGGTATGAGGTAGATTCTTGTGAACCCAAACGCAACAGTACCACCAGCGTTCATAAGAAAAATATACAGAATTGTAGGAAGGAGCGAGGCTGGGGCTGATTTCTTTCTAGCCCAGACATGTCATGATGTCAGTTATGTCTGATGATTACACAGAGTGAATGCCCCCCTAGATTTGATCTCCAATTGAGATATATTGCTATATATCTTCAGCAGTGATTGAGAAGGCATGCAAATGAGGTGGATTATAAACTCTATCATGCTCTGCCCCCAAAATTCTTTGGAGGAAAAACTGAAAATAGATAGATTAAGAACACACTGTCCAATCAAAGTACAAGTTACACAAAAAGACAGACAAATGTTGTAAGGGGTTACAACTTTTCTGTTTACTTTGAAGTTTGTTATTCAGAGGAAACATGGCATGAACCCAGTAGGACATTAGGGACTTGAATAGATGGTTACTAGAAGCACTTAAAAATTAGAAAGCATGGATGCAGATGCCTATCTGCCTCTAAGTGTGTGTGTGCTTGTGTGTATAATAGTCACATCATTCTTATTATGCCATTAATCAAACCATGTGACAATGCATTGATCGAATAATTTCCATGCTATTGACAGATTTTTAGCTCTTCCATTTAAAACCATGACAAAAGTAGTTATTATGTGTCATATATTTACTTTACTATTTTACACTATGCTGTAAGCTGAATCCCCAAGTACTTCATACGACTTCCTGTTCTATTACACTCAGACCGTATTGCATACTAGTTTTCACAAAACAGACGCCTGTACTTGCTCAGTTCTGTGTAGTCATACGTATATCAAATGTATGTTGAATTTTCTTGATGATCTGCCTTGTCACCTTGTTGTGTACATATTGACAGCATAAGTTTCTGATCCTGATAAGGGCATCACATCTGCTGCTCTGTGCCATGGGATAGCATTTACACAAAGCCTGTCCTCACCTTTTCAAAGCAACATTCAACCTCCCTCCAATGAAGGCCCTTAGGAGAGCATGTTAACAATGAAACAACACTTCTGCTTCTCACACACCACACCTCCAGCTCTCCTTGGCTGTGCTACAGAAAGCCTGCGACAGCATCATCCATTGTTATGGCAGGAGCGGAGTCTCAAGGGATGCTAGCAAGATGGAGTGGCTACCATGGGCCACAGAAAGGATTTATGCCATGCTCCTCTGGCAGTGCTCTCCGTGCCATGAGCACCGAGCTGGGGAAGGAAAAACAAAGCCATTGGCCAAAGGTGATGGCTAGCTAGCCCTTAGGGACGCAAGGGTATTAGTGATGAGCGAATTTGTTGGTAGACAATCAAAGGGGGAAATGAGAATAAGAATGAGAGTCAATACACTTTTTTTTGTGAGGTCGCTTACATCAACAACACTTTAATCTAACACAAAGAGAAAAATATTTCATGATGAATTTGTCTCACAATTTTTTTTTTCTGAAGGTTTAAAGAGAGGTTATGTGTTTTGCCATAAAATTCAATAGAGGGTTTCTTGGATATATAAGACCCCAAGGCGCTGGAGGTGCAGATATTAAAATCACTGTGAATGATGGCTTTGATATGCTGTTGCATATTTAAGGCTGTGGCAGGCTTTCCCAAAAGCCAGATATGGAAAATGGTTACAGTACCAATCAAGTGTACAGAAAATAGTGAAGATAGATCGTTCCTAGTCTGGGTTCTAGATTATCCCAAATGGGCACCAGGTATGTTTACCTAATACAAGATTTTTTATTTATTTTGAGCAAGGACAGCAGTTTCTGAGTCCTGAATTGAATTTTTGAGTTTCAGTTAATGTTTATATGGAGTTGTGCATGATCTTTTGTGTCTGCATAGGTTTCCTCTGGATTTTCTGGTTTTCACCCTTCCAAAAACATGCCAGTATTTGGATTGGCTGATAGAATGTGTGTGTGTGTGTGTGTGTGTGTGTGTGTGTGTGTGTGTGTGTGTGTGTGTGTGCATGGGAATGGGACTAGTGTACCATTCAAGATATACCCGCTCATGCCCATTGCTCCTGGTGATATGCGCCGTGACCCTGCCCAGGATAAAGTAATTACTAAAGACTGATGAATGAATGAATTTAGAGCAAGACATGTGACCTCAAACTACTTCAGCAGGGTGCTACAAAACACAATTTTCTACACAGTCTACTTTCCCTTGGAAATAGCAGGGATTGTCCATCAATATACTAGTGTGCATCAGTCAAATCGTTACGATTTTTTTTCTTAAATTACTATAATAACTGTAATTATGTCACAATTGTGTCTGGCAAAGTCACTGTGTTAGCTTAAAAAGACGAAGTAAAATGCAGAAATCCATCATACATTACGCAGCATTTGATGAAATCAATGAGCCTAAAATGAAAAGCGGCAATTGTTCCTTTTCCCCCCTGCCATTAATGTGATTCACTCATTTATTCTCGCTTTACAATCCGACATCTCACTGACGCTGGTCTTTGTCTTTCTGGCTTTCTGGTCGGCCAATATCTTGCTCGCTACTGCCATCTAGTGGTTTCATAAGGATACAGACTTTGTTTATTCAGGCGTAGAGGTCATCATAACATTCTTTTAGAAATTAGGGAAGGGCAGTGTACTATATGTCCCTAAATGTACTCATTTATTTTAGATTGGTGTGACCTTTGTGTCTCCCTGATATTATATTTATATGTCAAAATGTCTCTAAATTAAAGATACATTTTACACCAGTAAAGTATGTGAGATAAATAAAACATCTACAGCTTTGGGAAAGCAGTGTTTTTGACTGTCCCCGCCCACTATATCTACACTTGACTCTGAAATGCAATCATAAAAATACTCAAATACAACTTTTATGACCTACAACACTTTCTTGAAGATCATGGGAAGAAGAAAATGATGTTCTTCTATTTAATTTTCAGTGATTTTGTATTATTGATTCATGAGGTCACTATAAATGTACCACACTGCTTCCCAAAGTATAGATTTAAAGCAAATTAAATATTTAAAAAAACATATGGAGGGGCGCATGGTGGCTTAGTGGTTAGCGGTTAGCACTTTCGCCTCACACCTCCAGGGGCCGGGGTTCAATTCCCACTGGGTCCATGTGTGTGCGGAGTCTGCATGTTCTCCCTGTGGGGGTTTCCTCTTGGTACTCCGGTTTCCTCCCCCAGTCCAAAGACATGCATGGTAGGTTGATTGGCATGGGTGTATGTGATTGTGCCCTGTGATGGATTGGCACCCTGTCCAGGGTGTACCCAGCCTTGTGCCTGATGCTCCCTGGGATGGGCTCCAGGTTCCCCACGACCCTAAAAAGGAGTAAACGGTAGAAGATGGATGGATGAAAAAAGGTATGGAATGTGTTTAATAATTGCTTGACTATCACTTTCCCCCTCAAACAACTTTCTACATGTCATCCATGTAAGCTGGTTAACTTGTAGTGTGATACAGATTTTCGAATGTGTTTATAACAAAGGCTCCAGTAACCACCTGCCAGCTTAAGAAAAATAAAATCTATTTGTTTTGGTTCACTTACTGTATATTGCTCTCTTACTAAAACATGCAACTTGGGATATTGTGCTTTAAAACTTTTGCTTCAGTGCAATATCTGTTGTGTAGATGATCTTCCTTACACACAATCCTACACACTAGTATGCTTACAACACAAACCGGTGGGGGAATACTAAATCTAACTACCTAGGGACCCTAGGTGTAGGAAACCCTCTAGGGGCTTGGACTAAAAATGTCAAGAAATGGGAATTGGGACCTCAGAGACTGCATTTGCACAGGAATTTGTAGAACAGCCCAGAACATTTTTATGCACTGTTTAGTATGGTAATATATGGCTTTGAACAAAGCCACAACTGTGAACCTACTACAATATAGAATAGTATGTCAAATAGCATGTCAGAATATACACTATGTTAATAAACTATTTAATACGATAATAGATAGGTGGCATCGACCACTATATTCTTTAGGTTTTGGTTGTAGATAGCCTAGGTATCACAATATTTCACCCATTATGAGGTCTACTACTAAATAGTAAACTGGAAAATAGGTAGGATACTGTTTTCACCCAATATTATGGCAGTACCTGTGTTGAATTTTATATATTAATACTCCAAAACATTTGGTATAGTACTTTTACTACTATGGCTACTGTTTAGGATACTAGGCTATAGTAGCCTATGCATTTTGAAATACATGCCAGTTGCATTTTGTTGTATTCATCTCTTGATTCATCCTAAATAATTAGTAATTAAGTGAATCGCTCATCCACGCCACGAAAGCTAGACGTGTGCTCTGTCATGTGGTAATATGTTTATTTAGGATCACTGTGTGATCCACTGTGTGACCTTGAGAGCTCTCCACAGTTGCATGAAATGGTGCAATCTTTTCTTTGCACATGCGCAGATGTTCGAGTGCACCTGCTGTCTCACACTAATACAAATGTGTGCTTGGGTATGGAATGCATCTGGTTGGCAAAGAAATATATATTAATGTCATTTTTTTAGGGAAAGGGTTGCTTGTCGCTCTGAGTTGCCATCACCTCTCCCTTCAGGTGACAAAATGCAATATGTGGTGTGAAATTGGGTCAACACAACACTGAAATAGCTGTGAGGAAGACGCAGGATGAGGAATGCATTTGCATATTCATATGGGCAGAATGGGCCTTCAAAAGGACACTTTCATCCTCCCTTACACTGCACTCTGCCTCCAAATGAAGGGGAGGTTTAAGGGAATCCACTATAGTATTGTTGGTTTCTGAATGATAAAAAACAAATGAATTTAATTACTGAAATTTTGTATTTATTGAAGTATAAAGACTGGGCTTCAAAAGGAAGATTTTTCAAGGTCTGGTTATTTCCAGCATTCCCAACAATGGAATTTTGAGTAGTAAGAATTGCTATAGTAACTCAAATTTGTGATATTTTAATATGGTCATATGGCCAGATCATATAGAGCAAAGTTATCCAATCTTATGAGCAATGTTTTGGTTTGCCTAGAGCTTTTTACAGTGGTGCTTGAATGTTTTAGAATGTTCTATATTTCTGCATAAATATGATCTAAAACATCATCAGATTTTCACACAAGTCCTAAAAGTAGATAAAGAGAACCCAATTAAACAAAAGAAACAAAAAATATTATACTTGGTGATTTATTAATTCAGGAAAATGATCCAATATTACATATCTGTGAGTGGCAAAAGTATGAATGACAAAACCTTTAAGGTTAGCAGTTTAATTTGAAGGTGAAATTAGAGTCAGGTGATTTCAATCAATGGGATGACAATCAGGTGTGAAAGTGTATTATAGCATGAACAAAGGAGATTTTTTGAGGACCTCAGAAAAAGAGTTGTCTCTAAGGAGTTTGGACTCCTCCAATCCACAGTTAGACAGATATTCAAGACTGTCCCCATTGTGGTATTTTATAATCAATGCGAGATTTCACTGGGAGCCAATGCAGTGAGGATAAGATAGGGGTGATGTGGTCGTATCTTCTGGTTTTAGTAACAACTCTGCTGCATTCTGGACTAACTGGAGTTTGTTTGTGCTCCTACTGGAACATCCAGACAGGAAGGCATTACAGTAATCTAGTCTAGAGGTGAGGAAAGCATGAATTCATGTTTCTGCATTGTGTAGTGACAATATATTTCTTATCTTAGCAAGATTCCTGAATATTGAAGAAAGAAGGCTATCTGGAAATATTATCTAGCTGAGCACCAAATGATCAACTGGAGTCAATAATCACTCCAAGGTCTTTTACTGTTGCACATGATGAAACGGAAAGTACATCCAGAGCTACTGTGAGATCAGAAAACTTCTAGCTACACATGGTCCTAGTATAAGTACTTTTGTCTTGTCAGAATTAAATAAGTGGAAGTTAATTAGCATCCGGTGTCTAATGTCCTTTACACGTTCCTCAACTTTATTAAGCTGCTGTCTGTCATCTGGTTTTGCTGAAACATACAGCTGTGTATCATCAGCATAACAGTGAAAGCTAATTCCATGTTTATGTTTAATTTGCCCCAGAGGTTGCATATATAAAGTAAAAAGCAGTGGTCCATATAGAGAACCTTGCGGAACTCCAAATTTAACCTCGGTATGTGTAGAGAAGTCACCATTTACATCTACGAACTGATAGTAATCAGTCAAATAATCACTGAGCCAGGAGAGGTCTGTTCCCTTGATGCCAACATTTTCTAGTCTACCAAGGAGAATAGTGTGATCAGTGGTATCAAAAGCTACACTAAGGTCAAGTAACATAAGCACACATCCCTGATCAGAGGCAAGTAGTAAGTAACTGACCACTTTAAACAGCTCTATCTTTGTTCTATGATGAGGTCTAAATCCTGACTGATACATTTCATGAATGTTATTCCTATGTAGGTACGAGCATAGCTGCTGTGCTACAACCTTTTCTAAGATTTTGGAGATGAAGGGGAGATTTGATATTGGACTATAGCTGGGCAGTTGACAGAGTCAGTTTTTTTAATCAGGGGTTTAGTAACTGCTAGTTTAAATGATTCTGGTACATAGCCAGTGCTAAGGAAAGAATTGATTATATTTAAAAGGGGTTTGATTACTTCTGGAATAATCTGTTTCATAAAAAATGTAGATAAGGGATCTAGTATATGAGTTAATGATTTTGATGAAGTAATTAATAATTAAATTAGCTTGCTCTCTCTAAGGGGAGTAAAACATTCTAATCGTCGATCTGATATTGCTATATTATTATCTACAGGCTTAGTTATAAGACTGTTTGGTTTTAAATTAATAATCTGAATTTGTCTAATATTTGAAACTTTGCCAGCGAAAAAATTCATGAAATCATTGCTGCTATGTAATGATTGTGTGCATGTTTCTGTGGTGGTTTTATTCCTAGGTAATTTTGCTACAGTTTTAACTAATATCTATGATTGTTTTTGTTATCTTCTATTAGGGTGGAGAGACAGACTGATCTAGCAGCACTAAGAGATTTTCTATAGTTCAGGAAGCTCTCCTTCCATGCTATTTGAAATATTACCAATTTGGTTTGACGCCATTTACGTTCTAATTGTCGAGTGGTCTATTTTAAGGTGTGTCTGTGTGTGTTATACATGGCTGCTAGCTTTTTCTCTCTGATTATTTTTCTTTTAAGTGGAGCTACCATGTAGCGGAATGTTTACTCTAAGCATTCAGTCGCCTGATCAAGTTCTTTGGGATCAGCTGGTAATCCAAACATAGTTGATATCTCTGGGAGGTTATTGATAAAAACTCTGTGCAGTAGTGCCACTCCAAGAGCAAGACGTGGAATAGTCTGTGAGGTCAGAAAGGAAACCAGGGTAACTTCTAATCAACTAAAGGCCTTTCTCACTTTGGCTTATGTTAATGTTCATGAGTCCACCATCAGGAGAACATGGATCAACAATGGTATGCATGGAAGGGTTGGGAGGAAAAATCACTGCTCTCCCAAAAAGACCATTGCTGCCCCTCTGCAGTTTGTTAAACATCATGTGGACAAGCCAGAAGGCTTCAATAGAAATGTTGTGGAAGGGCCTTAAGCAAGCAGTTCATGTGAAGAAACCCACCAACATCCCAGAGTTGAAGCTGTTCCTCCAAGCCGATGTGCAGGACTGTTCAACAGTTACTGGAAATTTTTACTTGCAGTTATTGCTGCACAAGGGCGTCACACCAGATACTCAAAGCAACTGTTCAAACACTTTTCCCCACTCACAGATATGTAATATTGGATCATTTTCCTCAATAAATAAATGACCAAGTACAATATTTTAGTCTTGTTTATTAATTGGGTTCTCTTTATCTACTATTAGGACTTTTAGAAAATCTGAATTTTAGGTCATATTTATGCAGAAATATCGAAAATTCACAAATTTTCCGTCACCACTGTATTTCAACCAAGAAAATGCTTGCCTTGTTTATGGATGTCATTTGGACAATGGCCCTTTGTGGCCAAATCAACAAATCATCATTTCATTAGACTGCCATACCATAAAGTAGTTTGTTGTCAATGAAAGCCTATTGATTTATCAATTAGTCATTTTAATTTATCATATTTTGGTGTAGTTATAAATGAAAACCATCACATATTGCAGATTGAG